CCCCTCTCAACATCCAGGCTATTCCCCCTGCCCCGTACTAAATGCCACCCTTTTTCTCTTACACCACTCTCCCCTATCAACTCACGGAGGGCCCTTATCCTATGCGCGAGTTCTCAGAATATTTGGTGGAGCCGACTGACGTGGAGCCGCTGCCCTTCGCAGACGAAGACGCATGGGAGTTGCACCGCGCGCTATATAAGTCGGTGGTGTTGGGGATGTTCCGATTCGTCGTGGATCACGAAGACCACTGCATCGGGGAGCACTTCGTCGTTTATTACGTCATCACGCGGCCCAAGTCAGCGCAGAAGCAGGGAACGGTGGCGTTGTACCTCTTTGCCCAGTTCCAGACGACCGATCCGGGATTGTTGGAGCTCATACATCTTGAACTCCTATCCACTGCACAAGTGATCGCGAACGAGGAAGAAAAGATCCAGCCACGATTGCGGACGGCGGCTGCCCTGCGGAGAACGTACAACGAGGTCATCATCCCGGATTTCATTGCGCAGCGCGAGGAGAGGTTGGAGGACTTCCCTGAGGAAAAGCCGCTGCGACCTCCCTCATCGTATCCCAGGCCTGCGCCGTCAAAGACCCCCAAGAAGACGCCGAAGAGGAAGAGACGCCACCCATTGCTAGGAGCGCAAGGTAGCCGAATCGGTGGCGGCGAGGAGGTGGTTCAGCCTGTGCACGCGCGGAATCCCGACCCTCTTCCTGAGAGTGCGGTGACGCTGCTTAAGGAGACTGTCGTGCCATCGCCGTCCCTCCCGTGCGTGCCCGATCTCAATCTCGATGGAGCCAAGCCATCAGCCGCAGCAACCGGAGGAGGAAGCCGAATGGGATTACCGGATCCCGTACCCAGACCCCCCGTCCTCGCTGGACCTTTCCGCTTCCGCCAGCCAACCCGGAGTGCCCCGATCATTGACATTAGTTGTTCCTCCAAGCCGGACGGTCCATCCGATAGAGGTGGATTTCATGCATGAGGCTCGAGGCCATTGTGGGGGCGCCACGCCCTGATCCGGCGTGGGAGCCATATCTGACACCCCCTTTTCAAGGGTGTATCGCGGCGCGGCTGGCGGGGACGCTCATCTACGAAACCGGGCAGCGTCCCAATGTGATGTATCACTTCCTTGTCTTCGCGACGCAGAAGCGGGAGCGGGGGCCCTACACCGAGACTCATCTGGTGATGACGGGTCCCGGACCACGATCGGTGCGCAAATGGGTGGTGCGAGCGGTGGGGGATCCGGCGCCCCTTGTCCTGTCTCATGTACCGGGGGCCTTCCTCTATCCCTCGTTCGTCCAGCACCACTTCCATGAGGAGGACGCGCCGACGACTCCCGCGGCAATGGCCGCCTTCCTTCCACCTATTCCGCCGCCTCTTAATCTCGACATCGATCACTTCCTTTGATCACCCTCGTCAACTTCTCCCTTCTTCTCTCTTTCTCTTTCTCTTCATCGTCTTCCTCTCCTATGCCCAAAGTTCGCGCGTCGGGATGTGCTGTAAAAAAAAAATAATAATAATAATAATAAATAATAATAATAAAAAAAAAAGAGTGGAATACTTACCGATCGGGCCAGCTGACGATGAAGAGGCCGTCCGATCGGATGTATAATATGAGGGAGAAGACAGACGATGCGAAATGCATTAGGAGATGATCGGGCCAGCTGACGATCAAAGGGCCGCCCGATCATCCAAGACATGATGACATCAGCAGTCGGAAGACTGCTCATTTTTTTGAACCCCCAGCGCATCACAGATGTGATAAGCTCAGATCCGTACTGCGCGGCTTTCCGTATCCTTGAGGACAAATCCCCCGAAAGCCCCGTAGCACGAACTTGAATGAAAGGGTTTTTTTTTCTTATTGTTTTTTTTTTTTTTTTTTTTTTTTTTGAAATGTTTTTTTCACCTTTTTGGCTAATAACTCCCGCGCGGGCGAATAGCGGCCGCGATATGAAAACCAAGAAACAGTTTCGGTTGGGACCTTTTTGAATTTTCTGCGCGCGCGCATCTAAGCTCCGACTTCTTCGCGCACCTCGCACCCCCGTTTCTTGCGTTGCATCCCCGCGCCATCTTCCTTTCTTGCTGCGCGCTCCCTTCCATGCCGGACTCTTCGTCTCCCCGCACACAAAGCTCGATCCTCACCTTGTCTTCCTCCGCGAGTGATTGGCCGCGTAGTTGGGATGCTCGGATCAATGTGGAGAGCGGGAAAACGCGCTCCACTTGAACGAACACCCCAATCATGTACAGCCATTTCGACTCTGCGAAGTCGAACCCTCTGACTCCCCACCTTTCTTCTGTCCTGCTCATCTGCACCCTGCGCTGCCCGCACCTCGCGCTGACAACCCACCGCCTCCCACGCTATAAATCTGCGCAACCCTCTCCTCTCTCTCTCTTTGATCTCGGATGCAATGCTGCGCGAGCTATGCGCGAAAGTCCACAGCGCCGAACAGGCTCAACGAGCCCAAGGACGGGCGGAGTGACGACGTGGGGTGGGCCCGCGGTAGACTCGGGGCGAAGCAGTCGGAGGGACTGAGCAGTGGTGGAGATTGG